GGGCGGGAACAACATTAGGGGGCGGTTCCGTCGTTGTTGTTGTTGTCGTTGTCGTCGTTTGTTGTTGTTGTTGCTGCTGTTGTTAACGTGCTCGCTTTGGGAGTGCCACAAGGAAGAACGAAGAAAACGGTTACCGAATCTCTTTTCATTTTCGGAAAACGAAAAACTAAGCAAAACGTCCTCTCCAACACAGAAGAAGGAGAAAGCCACAAATCGCTCCAGGGGGGTTAAAAGCGAAGAAAATACAAGTAATAGTCTTCTCCGACAGTGGAAGGCTCCTCGGGAAAGGGGAGGGCCCTTCGACGGGGGGGGTTGTTATTGTTGGAAAATCGGGGAACAACACCCCCCCCCCCACCCCTCTATCGAAGGGGTACAGTATGAGCGAGAGAAGTGATGCTCAGGCACTCGCGCGAATGGGAGTGCCATACCGGGTGGCTTTCGCATTCCTGTGTGACAACACTGCCAGCGTCCGTCGTTTTTGCGAAGACAATGTGCAGTACGATCTTTGGATCGAGGATGCTCGCAGCCCGGCCTTCCACCAACATGCTCCAGGATGTTCCAGCCCTCCGTACAGCGCGGCAGGCAAGCAGGTGCTGGCTTACTTGAGCAGGTGGAGGGGATGACCATGAAAAAATCCTCATCCTGCACCGTCTTGCTTGCTTGCTTGCAGCTTGCACAGCGTATGTGTATGGAGACCGGGTTGAGCCCCCGCCCTCCTGCGTTCATCTGAAGTGTCCTTGCCTCTTGCCTCTTGCTGGCTTGCTTGCTTGCTGAAGGTCTTGGGGCAGGCCTACCGTGGCAACACCCGCCCCCCCCCCCGGTCCGCGCGCAACCGGCTCTTGGTCTTGGTTTCGGCCTCCCCCCATACATTGATGGGAGTGCCCTCGGTGTGATACTGAGTACCGGGTTTTGGGATGCAAGGCCAAAGAACAGCAGCTGTCATAAAATCACGCAGCATCCCACGGAGAGAGTAAGCTTACATCGGTGACGCCCCGCCTTTCCGAAGAACCCTAGTGGGCACTCACGGTCTCAGCCTACCTGCCTAACCTACCCCTATCCTTGGTCTTCTTCAACACAGCCAAAAGGCTATCCTTGGTCTCTCTCTCTCTCCCTCCCTCCCTCCCCCCGTCCCTCTCTCTCCCTCTCTTGCTGATACTCTCGAAACTAGGCTTGCAGGATAGAGGCTGGAGCAACTGCTCGGAGGTGATGCCTGCAGTGAGCCGCAGCTCTGCTAAGATAAATTTAGCTTTCCAGCGTTGTTGCAGCGACAGGTAACCGCTGTGTCTGCGCCACTGAGGCCAAAGCTTTTGGCCCTCGGAGGCACCGACATAAACACGATCATCTGGGTTCCATGCTTCCGAATCCCAGTAGGCACTACTTCCTGCCCTTTGCAGATTCATCCTGGAGCCATAGCCGGGCTACGACCCCACGCTGACACCATACTCCAGAAAAACGAGGGTGACGTTGCCCTTGCAGGAGCCATGCTGACATGCCCTCAAGCTGGTTGCCCCGAGGTTGTGCGGTACAGTGGTCTTTCAAGCGTCTCATGCTACGGGTAAACACGGTCGGTATGTTACATCTGTCTGTCCACCGCAAAGACTAGTAAGGCCTTGTCACACACCCTCTTCTTTTCTACATGATGTGAGACCGAATGGCGATGCTTCTGGGCTCGACATGAATCGGGCCCGTCTAAGTGCACGAGCTGGGCACCACTGAATTTCTTCAACACTCCCAATCAGGTACAAACATCAAATGCGAATCTGTTCAGTGATGCTGGAGAGCCGCGAAACGCAGTGCAGACGTTGCTGCAACCCACTTTCAGCTGCAAGCTGAAGCGCTGACGTGGAGAGCTCTTTCAAGCATGAATTGCGATGACGACCGATCAGCTGAAGAGTGTATGATGGCGTATATGGAGTGGATGCACTGCTCTCGCCTCTCTCAGTACGGCTGTGACCGCCTTGGAAGCCCGACAGCAACACGCGACCGAATCAAGAACTGCGTGCCACGACCAGACTGCCGTTGATCTGAGCTGCTCCGTCGCACCACCGCCCTCGTTTTTCACGGGGCCACACCCAGTTGCCTCGCTGTTTTCCTGGAGTGACACGGGCGGCAAACGATCGCCGGTCTCTCGGGTCAGCAGTGCAGTTGCTACAGGCGCGTCCTCTGCTGTCGGAACAGGTGATGTCGGGCAGCCGCCACCCCCACAGCTGCCCGCTGCACATCCGCCGCAAGCAGGGCAGCCACCGCAACCACCAGGACACCCTCCACAACCAGGACAGCTAGTGGGGCAGCATCCGCATCCAGGACAACCGCCGCAGCAACCACATCCACAACCAGAGGGGCAAGCTGGGCATGCCCCCTTCCCCATCCCACCCATCATGGGATTCATCATGGGGTTCATCATGCCCCCGCACATTCCTGGCATGCCACCTCCCATCATCTGCATCATTCCCATCATCTGCATCATGGCCTTGCAGGTCAGGAGACGGAGAAGAACAACTATGACTATGACTACGTGTTGCGATGATGATGCCCAATTGGGGAACGACAGGCTCCGCACCCCCATCGCTGCCATTGGATTTGCCTGAACGCGTAAATGAACGTGCAAAGACAGGGATCGTTGAATCATGTTGAATCGTGACCCGACCCTGCACGAAGGGCCTGCTGTCCGTCACCCTTTGCATCCTCGCCACTGTTTGCACCCATGTTCGCCGCAGCCTGCGATGTGCCAAGGTGAAAAGCAGTCGCAAAACTTGAGCCGGAATCTCTTGCGGCCTGAAGATAATTTTCTGACCACTTCTCATCGTAATCGTCGGCAGACTCCACTCTAGAGTCGTCCTTCAAGCAGGCACAATCCGCAAACAATTGGCTGCCAACTAATCCCTACCCGCTAATATTAAACGGCCCCCCCAATAGATACTCGGAAAGTGTTTTGATTATTAGGGGGGATTTTTTATCTTTACTGTCAGATTTGGGTACAATTACGGCCGCTCCGCACGGGCAGGCTCAGTGAAGGCCTGTGAAACCTGACTTAGTCCTTTCAGGCAGACAGGCAGTGAGGCCTGCAGATTTAGGACGTGTGAGGCAGGCTTCGGACAGCCATGCTCACAGACCGAGCTGCAGACAGGCCGTCGCAGCTGAGAAGAGACCGACAGCTGGCAACCAGGGGGTCTCACCCTAAACCCCCCTAATTCAGAATAGGTGTTAAAGGGCAGGGGTGATTTCAGGGAGGATTGGGTCCAATGTGCTTTTATTACTAGGGGGGGTGTTTAATAAAAGGGGGGAGAGATTATTAGGTTTGGACACTTGCCCAGCCTTCTTTTGCTTCTGTCGAGCTAGTTCAGCTGCTTCCTTGACACGCAGACTGTCTGTCAATCATTCAAACCCAAAGTGAATGGCACGAAGCAGTGCGCGCGTGCGGCTCATAGTGCATTGACTGTCACATGCCGTCAGACAATCTGGCGTTCTAGCTTTGACAGCTGAGTTTTTCAGCATGCGAGAACACCGTGTTGACTTGTTGCCTCTTGGACCTGTTTGCATTCAATGGAGTTTTGCTCAGACGGTAGGAGGCTTGGAAGACGTATTCGGGGCCCGGATCGACTATTCCTGATGTGGCGCTGCCTCCAACAGTGTTGACCCGCAGTGCTGGAACCATATCACGGATTCTCGCAGCCATCGCTTCCGTTGCATGGTTCAGTACAAAAGCCAACGAACATCACCTCCGGAGCACACGAGCCGGCGTTTTGCATGTGCTTTGCACGAACTTTTTGCTTCTCGCATTGCCACAGCTGCAAAGCGACTATGGGCTTTAGTAGGAGAAGAAGTAGTAGTTCTTTGTCACCCACTTGGCACGACGGAGTCAGCACTGCGGGGCTAAGAAGAAGTAGTAGCAGAAGAAGAAGTAGTACTGGTGGTAGTAGTAGTAGTAGTAGTAGTAGTTGTTGTTGTTGTCACCCACTTGGCACGATTGAATCAGCACTGCGACGTCACAAGAAGATGGAAGTAGTAGTAGTAGTAGTAGTAGCAGTAGCAGCAGCAGTAGTAGTAGCAGTAGCAGTAGCAGTAGCAGTCGCAGTCGCAGTCGCAGTCGCAGTCGCAGCAGCAGCAGCAGCAGCAGCAGCAGCAGCAGCAGTAGCCGCGGCAGCAGCAGCAGCAGCAGCAGTAGCAGCAGTAGCAGCCGGAGCAGCAGCAGCAGTAGCAGCAGGAGCAGCAGCT